TGCCTCCCCTGCCTCCTCTGTCTCCTCTGCCTCCTCTTCCTCCTCTTCCTCCTCTGCCTCCTCTTCCTCCTCTTCCTCCTCTGCCTCCAGGGTCAAACACAACACCACTAAGAATAGGAGGTTGCTGTGATCAAGGCCAGCGTCAGGTTTCAGAAGTGTGGGGCGACGAGCATGGTCTGATCATGCATCATTTACACGGCTAATGAGTGGAAGAGAAGCTAGCTGCTATGCTAACTAAATCATTAACTGTGAGAGCGCCAATAAAATCACCAATGACAAATATTTATACTTTATATAATATTTTGAGCATTTAATATCTCAGTAGTGACGTACAACAGTGTTATAATAGAAAAATGGAAAGGAAATTCTGTTTTGAAAGAATGGATTTGTGCTTGAGAAGAATTGTGTTTTCTATATTAGTTTGTAATGTACATAATATCATCCCCTCAGTCCTGGATCTACAGCCTCAGTCCTGGATCTACAGCCTCAGTCCTGGATCTACAGCCTCAGTCCTGGATCTACAGCCTCAGTCCTGGGTCTACAGCCTCAGTCCTGGATCTACAGCCTCAGTCCTGGATCCACAGCCTCAGTCCTGGGTCTACAGCCTCAGTCCTGGATCTACAGCCTCAGTCCTGGATCTACAGCCTCAGTCCTGGGTCTACAGCCTCAGTCCTGGGTCTACAGCCTCAGTCCTGGGTCTACAGCCTCAGTCCTGGATCTACAGCCTCAGTCCTGGATCTACAGCCTCAGTCCTGGATCTACAGCCTCAGTCCTAGATCCCTCTCTCAACATGGACCTCCTCCAACATTTCTAGACAGTGTTATCCCGCTCCCTAAGGACAAATGGCTCCTATATGTGTTTGTAAGTGTTGCATCTCCTGAGTTTTGATTCTCTGATCTGTAGTTGAGGAATCGACAACTTTGTAAAGTCCTCCGAGGCAACTGCTGTTTTGATTCAGGGCTGTACAAAAATATGTTTATTCTAATTTGATTATGTGCCAACAAGCGAAACAGCAGTAATTGAGTAATTGGACACATTATGGATTATAGATTACAATATTAATAATAATAATAATAATAATAATAATAATATTAGTGAATACTCCCCTCTCTGTCGTATATTTTAGGAGTATTAGTACTACACATAGCATCACACTTGAGTGGTCTGCAGACACTGTACATGTGTGACGGACGACATAGATTATTTCGTGGACTAATCACACAAGTTTTACCATTCTAACATTTCCCCTTCATCCCAAATCAGCATTTTTCTCTATTTCAAAGTTTTAATACTGGCTTCTTCTTTTGCTTGCGCAGAAAGCTGCCCTTCAGAGAGGACACGCTGCATCACAGGAGCATCACGCCGCCACAATGAGCTAAAAATAGCACGGCCAGGCTAGCATCACGCACACACACACACACACACACACACACACACACACACACACACACACACACACACCATCCACCGCGGGACATTAGCATCTCCCATATCCAAATCGCAAAGCCGTAACTTCGAAATGCATACCCAAAGTAGAAGCTGGACTGCAAATACCAAAAAGCAGACATTGTGGAGCACGTACTTACAAAAAGATATTTGTGGTTTCCATGGCAGCGGCAGGACGAGAGAGCGCGGTCCGTGAACCGAGAGAGATGATAGAGGATGATCCGGCCGTTATGGTCCGAGAGGAGAGAATGGGAGTCTAAAGAGGCAGAGAGGCGGCCATGCCAAGGGGAGAGGCATCCGCTCACGTCACGCTTTTCATGAATGGAGCAGGTCTGACGCAGAAGGACGGGGGAGGAGGGGGGAGGGAGGAGGGAGGAGAGGGCGGGGGGGGGGGGGGCTTTTCTATCAGAGAGGACGACGATTTGTATTTCGCCAAAATCAGAGAAGAAAGTGTACAATGGATGAAGATATTGTGACTGCTCAGGAGGTCTGTCATCCGTTGATCAATATGTGTAGATTGAATAAGCACCAAAAAGTGAAAAACAAAGTACTTTATGTATATTTTGGTTCTCAAAGCACAGCACTGATAGAAATACTGTTGTTTGAATTTGGCGAATGGGTGGGAGTAATAATTGTAGTAGTAGTAGTAGTAGTAGTGGTAGTGGTAGTAGTAGTAGTAGTAGTAGTAGTAGTAGTAGTAGTAGTAGTAGTAGTGGTAGTGGTAGTGGTAGTGGTAGTGGTAGTGGTAGTAGTAGTAGTGGTAGTAGTAGTAGTAGTAGTAGTAGTAGTGGTAGTGGTAGTGGTAGTGGTAGTGGTAGTGGTAGTGGTAGTTGTAGTAGTAGTAGTTGTAGTTGTAGTTGTAGTAGTAGTAGTAGTAGTGGTAGTGGTAGTGGTAGTGGTAGTGGTAGTGGTAGTAGTAGTAGTAGTAGTGGTAGTGGTAGTGGTAGTGGTAGTGGTAGTAGTAGTAGTAGTAGTGGTAGTAGTAGTAG